ACTCAACAAATAGAAGAAATGCCAAGTACATCAGTTGATTTAACTGGTACTATCATGTAATTTGAACTGAGAAATTTGAGTATTCGGTACTTTTTCTATTAGTAAAACAACTGTAAAATGTACATACACATCCATGTAAATTATACTTCTCGCAGTTCTGAAGGTATTTAGAAAATAACTGCAAAAAAGTTTCATATTACTAAGAAGTTATGTCTCTCAACTGTCATTTATCATGTTTTCAGTTCGAATCAAGTCTGAAATTTCAGTTGATTCTCATCAGCTAGTGAAAAATTAATTTGCTAAGAGAATCTCCTTCGAATAGGCGAAACTGCGGATAAGAAACGAATTTTATAATTGCTGGAAACTAGAGATTCTTATTCAGATGTCAATCCCTCCCAAACAGCCGGATATGTACATATATCCAAAACGTTGTGGATAAATTTTGGCTTAATGAAGAGGGAAACTGGTGATAAAATAAATTTTCACGAGTGGAAAATTACAGATCTCGCGACAAGAAGCCGAGGATTTGGCCAGGAGGTTACAAGTGCCCTATGTGGAGTGTTCGGCCAAGAAACGTATGAATGTTGATGAGGCATTCCACGAACTGGTCAGGCTGATAAGGTCCCAACATTTGCAACTTCATTTGATCCAAATTTGCGTTCATTTATGTTCTCTTGAAAGACTTTACGTAGAGAAATTCAATTTTTACAATTATTCATTATGGTGAACTCAGAGATTTCTGCAGGAAATTCCAACAACAAGAGCGACAACCCTTGGACGGAGTTGATTTAGCCGTACCACCGAAGCATCCCGGGAAAAAGAAGAAGAATTGTCGAATACAGTGATAACAACCGAAAATATGGGAATTTGAGACTGATAATATGCCAACCGTAACCGTACGACATTGATAACAACAGCCTCAGAACGCTCACTCAGGAAAATTTTTTTCGCAAAAATTTTTCGCCATTTTATTTCTTCTTCTTCTTCTTCTTCGCTCGCTTCTAGTGTTTTGATCGTTGTTGATGTATTCAAATTCGTTCGTTTCCATTTTATCACTGTGTAATTTGATGTTGATCGATCTGTGATGTTGATTCGTTTAATATTGTTGTGTTGTTTCAGTTGTTGAATTAACTGATTAACTGATTATGAAGTCTTCTTTCACTGTATTCTGATTTGTTCATCATTGAAATGATTGATATGCGTGGATTTGTTCCTAGAAGAAGTTGATGCTGGCTGGACAGTTTCGAACTGCAGAAGTCAAGTGATAAAATTCGAAGCTATGAAAATCAACATAATGAAATTCAATGTGTTCTTAATCTGTTTACAAGCTGCGATACCGGTGCGTCCACTTGTTCACGTATAGTCGTCTGTTCGAGAATAGTGTTTGTTGTTCGAAGTGATTTAATGTCGTAATCAGAAACAAGCTACGCTTACTGCCACAATCTGGAACGCAAACAGGATCCGATCGAATCATTGCAACGAAGATTATGATGGTGATTTGGTTGAGCGCTTATAATCACCTCGCGATGTGATCACTCTACACTGCCACTGACTGATCCATTGTGACATTTTGATCACAACAATAGAACAGATGAAAATATTACTCTACATTGCCACTGACTGATCTGTTGTGACATTTGATCGCAACAATAGAACAGATGAAAATATCACTTTTTTTTGAATACATTAGCCAGATGCTTACTTATGAAGCTCGAAGTGTTATAACGGTTGCCTCATGGAATATTTCTGATTGAAGAACCTGTTTTCAGAAGAATGAACCGAAATTCTTAAAGTGAATTGGAGATTGAGGGAATTTTTAAAATCCAAGAATTCCAAGCATGGAATTTTCGAGAATTTCGGAATATCTTCCTCTCAGATATTTGACAGTCAAACATTGCAGAGTTTCGGTGAGATGTTAAGCCCAGATGCCAATTTCGAGCGATCATCCTATGCGCGTTCGTTTAGTTTATGGAATTTGTTCAAAATGAACATTTAATTTGGTTGTATTTCTTATGAATATGTTACTTTTTCAGTATGTTCTTATCTGGTTGAATTAAATCATCAAACTTTGCACAGTTTTGTTGTACTAATCCAATGATTTCATTGAAATTAATTGATC